GGCCAAGGAAGGTGGCCAAGGACGGACCGAGGAGGCAAGGATGCAAGGGTAACCTTGGGACGGTTGCCCATCCTCACTAGGCGGGTTGACTGTATGCTAGGAGGAGCAGGAGGAGCAGGAGGAGGAGGAGGAGGAGGAGGAGGAGGAGGAGGAGGAGGAGGAGGAGGAAGAGGAGGATGGTCGATGGCGCCGGTGCCCACGTCGTGAAAAACAAAGGCGGCGCAGGGTCGCGTCCAGTGGCCCAGGAGTGACCCTGAGGGGCGCGGCTGCGCGGCCTCGATGGGGCCGCGGGGGGGTCCGAATGTCCAGCGCGCAAACATCTGCCGGGGGGGACCCCTGCGGGCCGCACCAGAAGTCACTTCGGCGGAGGGCCTCGTCCTCCTCCTCCTCTTCCTCCTCCTCCTCCTCCTCCTCCTCCTCCTCCTCTCCTCCTCCTCCTCCTCCTCCTCCTCCTCCTCCTCCTCCCTCCTCCCTCCTCCTCCTCCTCCTCCTCCTCCTCCCTCCTCCTCCTCCTCCTCCTCCTCCTCCTCCTCCTCCTTCCTCTTCCTCCTCCTCCTCCTCCCTCCTCCTCCCTCCTCCTCCTGCCGCTCCCGCTCCTGCTCCCGCTGCTGGCCACTCTGCGCAGCCGAATCCGCTGCCCTGCCAGCTCCGCCCGCCCCCCCTCCCCCCGCGCCTGCCCGGGCCGCCCCCCGGGGGACCAGCGCGCCTGAGCTGCCGCCGGTGGTCCCCACTTTCTCTCCACGAGTGTACGAGCGTACGGCAGCTTCGGGTCGTACACGAGTGTACGGACAACGGTAGCCTTCGGGGGACCCTCTCGTGGCCACGGCCGGGCGCACCTCGGAAAACTGGTGCGGCTGGACCCCTGGAGGGGTCCGGGGATCGAGTTTGAGTTGCCGTTGTCTCAGCTCGCGTGTTCGGCAGCTTCGCGTCTGTCTCAGTTGTACGAGTGTACGGCAGCTTCGGGTCGTGACGATCCTGGCGTTGGTTCCTCGGGTCGGGCGAAAGGGGGGGATAGCAGAGGGGGGGGTTTGAGAATCAGCTCACGTAGCTGATTTTCCCGGCGCCGCCCGGCGCCGGAGGCGGCCATGTATCGAGGAATGGGCCCCTCGGTGGGGCCGAAACCAGCTGCGTGCCGCAAATCTCGTAACCCCCCCTCTCCCAATCCCCCCCTTTCGCCCGGCCCGAGTTCCTGACACCGCGTGGATCGTTCCACCTTGAATGATCTGCGGCGTTTCGATCGCCCGATCGCTCCAGATGGGCCGCTTCTGGGCCACGGGCGGCGTGCAACACTGCACGCCCCCGGCGGGGTCGCCGCTGGTCGACGCGACGCGAACCTGCCGTAGGCTTCTGGACCTTGTGCGTTCGATCGGGTTGTTCCTGGCTCGACCGTCGGGTTGTTCCTGGCTCGACCGTGCGCGATGGTCGTTTCGCGCAATCGCGCCGCCGCCCTGCGCCCTGGAGAAGGATCGGGTCGGGCGAGAGGGGGGGGTGGCAAAGCGTATATAGCTGATTTTCTCCTGGCGCCTCCCGGCGCCGGAGGCGGCCGTGTAGCGAGGACTGGGCCCCTCGGTGAGGCCGCAACCAGCTGCATGCAGCAGATATGGTCCCTCGAACGTTTGACACCGATAGGAATCATGCAGTGCGCTCCTGCGCCCTGTGGCCGCCCCGACCTGTTGAACTTGTAGCTTGGTCGTACGCAGCGAAGCCAGCCAGCCAGCCTCTTCCAGGGGTCGACACTCGGTCTAGGCTTAGTCAGGGCCAGCCCTGGGATCTCATCTTGGAACGCTCCAGGACGTTGTTCCCCGGAACCTACTATTCTTTCCTGACGAGCCCAAGTTTTGTCTGCAGCCCTGTCGCAAGACATATCCTGTGCTGCCGGAAGAAACTTCTGGATGCGTTTCGACGACATCTCCTGGAGGCGTCTATGGAGTGAGGATGTCGAAGGGCAGGGAAGGGAACATGAGTAAAGAAACACAACATGACCGAATATTCCCCCTGTCGAGGGACAAGCCCGACTTAAAACTAGCCCCTCTGCCTCTCTGGCAGCCCGGCGTCGGCTGCGCCTCTGCGGCGACACTTCGCGAATGGCCCTGCCGGCCTCTTGAAAACTCGGATTTCCGATTTCCGGCCTTCCCGCCGGGCGCGGGCGACCGCATGTGCCGGGCGGCGCAGCGCGCCGAGAAATGAGCCTGCCGGCCTGGTGGCGGCGACGCCCCCGGCGGACGATGCGGGCCAGCGGTCGGGCTCCCGACGGGCCAGGGGCAGCTCTCTCGATCGGATGTGACGCGGGTGGGCTTGCATGGTTTTGCATGCTGCATGATTTTGCGCGATTTTCATCTTGCGCGTGCATTGCATTAACGCCAAGAACAATGGTTTTTGCGTGTTGCACTGAAGCACAAGCCTTCGATCACGATCGAAGAACGGGCCCCTTCAGGTTCGAGCGGGGTGCGCTCTGACGGCACGCGGAACATACCTGAGCGACCAACAGCGTGTGCCGCTGCCTGTTCAGGATCCCGGCGAGCCTCTGCGTGGGCGACCAGCTTCTGGACCTGCGGCGCATGCAGGGCTATCTCCTGGCGCGGTGGCCCAGCCACCCTCTTCCGGCCCCGCAGAACCTGCCGCGCGGAGCTGGCGCGCCAATGGCCCCTCGAATGGAGAGACCGGTGGGCCCGCCGCAAGTGCTAAGTCGGGCGTGTCCCCCTACAGGGGGATTTTGGGCAAAAAATGAGAAATACTCAAAAAGACCCCCCAAATGCTCTAACATAGTCAAACAATCGTCCCCAGACTATTGTTTCACTGTTTTTGAATATTCTCCCTGCAGAGGGACACGCCCGACGTACGGCAAGTGAGCCATGTGGCTCTTCAGTGTACCCCGTCTGCCGAAGCAAGGTGCACTGCCTGGCGGCATCTTGTTCGCCCCGGGGCGAGCTGCTCCCGCTCGCGCGGCGAACGTTGGCCACCCAGGGGCCTCCGCGACGGACGGCTCGCTGCCGAGCTCGCACGCCTGGGCGACGACCCGATCAGGGCAGCGCGACGCCCGGAGCTCGAGCACGCCTGAAATCCAGGATCCCTCTGCCCCCGTGGGGAACCTGGGCCCGCGGCGCTCCGAGCCAGGGCGGCCGCGTGCTTTTGACGAGCGGACAGCAGGCGCCCCGCGCAGCCGCGGGCGCCCGGGAAGGCGCCGAAATGGTATTGGAGGCCTGGAAATGGGCACCAACACCAACACAGGGGGCTGCCTCCACAAGGGGATGCTACTCCTAGATTTCGGTGTTGGTGGTAATATTTCGGTCACCTTGAAGCCAGAATGTTACCACCATCACCGAGATCGGGATCTTCTTCCCTCGGTGGAGGCACACCGCCGATACTGGTGTTGGTGTCAACCTTTAGGCCTCCGATGGTAATCCTGCCAGGAGCTGGCGCCTCCAGGCCCCTGGGGCCCGCTGCGGCGCCGCGGGAGCAGTCGAGGCTTGGCGCTCCCTGCAAGCGCGCCAGCCTAGCTGCCCCGACACGCAGCACGCGACGCGTGCCGCCTCGAGTACGGAGCTCAGCACGCAG